GCGCCCTCCGCGGCCGCTGCCCGGGTCATATCCGCTGAGGCGGCAGGGGCGGGGCTCCTACCAGCCCAGGTCGGACCCGCTCCCGCTCCGCGCCCGCCGCTTCAAGCGTCTCTCCGCTGTCCCCTGCGCCCCAACATGGCGCCCGGGCCCTCGACGCGCCGTTCTAGAACTGCCGTGGACGCCACGGCGCGTGCGTGCCACGCAGAGCCTCACGGGAGTTGTAATTTCCAGGGGTCCGCCGCGGCCTGCTGGCGGTGGGGGGGCGGGGCTGAGCCTTGATTTTGGCTTTTTTACTGTTTTCTCCGTTTGCTCTGGCCTACCACCTACTTGCTTGTTCACCATTTTTTCTTACACTTCAAATCTACTTCCTCTGCAGGGGCATCTGCAGGGGGCCCCCACCTAGAGCCCGCCCTTTAGGAACCCCGTTACACTGAGGGTCTGCTGGTGAGGCAGCCCAGGCGGGTCCTCTGTGGCCAGGCCTGCAACTCCAGCCAGTTTTGTTCTCTCCTTGCTCTGAAGGCCCCAGGTGCTGTCCTCTGGTTTCTCTTTTTTTAAAATATATTTCTACTTGTTTCAGAGAGAGGAAGGGAAAGGGAGGGAGAGATGGAAACATCAATGATGAGTCTTTGATGGGCTGCCTCCTGCACGCCCCGCCTGGGGATCAAGCTGCAGCCCGTCATGTGCCCCGACCGGAAGCCAAGGGCGGTCGCCTGGATCCTAGGTCGACGCTCAACCGCTGAGCCACGCTGGCCCGGCGCTGTCTACCGGCTCCTATGGTTCCTGCTGCCAATTCTGCAATCAGGCTAACCTGCTGTTCCCCTGTCTTTTCTTTTTGGAAGCTGTAAAAACCTTCTCTGTCGTTAGTGCCCTGTGTCAATGTTAAAATTAAAATAGCCAATTATTTTACCAGCAAAAATGAATTTATTCAGGTTGACAGAGGAATTACAGCTTCAGACATACAACTTATGGCAAACCACTGGCAAATCTGGAGAACAAAAGAGGAGTACTGAGAGACAGAAAGGAAGGTTTAGGAAGGCCTATTACAAACAAAATGTCCATTGAGGAAACTGGGAGAAGGAGCTGGAAGTGAGTGGCTTCACGTTGGCTGAGTCCTGGCGGGTTTCGGTTTCTCATCAGCGGGGTCTGTTGCTAAGCAAAGAGAAAATCTGCCTTTCTCCAGCTGGAGTAGTAGAGTAAGCTTCTTCCCGAGTCTGCAAAATACAGTGAGTGGCAGTGCAGGAGAGCTCCCCCCAGGACTTCCCAACTCCATTTTAAATGCAATTTCCTTTATTTATTTCTCCACCTGCAATACCACCACTAGGTGTCAAGGGGTAAATTCCTTTTTATTTTTCTTACACAAGATATGCTGTGATTCCTGAATTTCATGCTTTTCATTTTGTGACCTCTGTAAGGTTCTCGGGCATGTCCTTGGAATGTGTTCTCTCCGCCATTCTCTTGAGACTCTTCATGTGGACCTGTGACAGACCTTCTCATTCTGTTCTCCATGTCTCTCAGCCCATGTTTCTTTCAGGGTGATGGTAGGTCTACCTCTCAATTCTCGAATTCTCTTCCGTTGTATTTAGTCTGCTGTTGAAGCATCACTGAAATATTCATTTAAATGCTTATAGTTTTATTACTAGAAGCATTATCTTCTTTTCCAAATCTTCCCTGCCTTTTTAGATGACGTTCTTTCTTACCTGTTTTCTTTCTACCTCTTTCTTTAAACATTTTAAACACATTTATTTACTCAATATCATATAATGGTTCCAATTCCTAATGTTCTTGAGAATCTGATTCTGTAGTTGTTTTCTACTGACTCATTTAGACTAGCATCCCTTCATATGTCTTGTAATTTTGGATTATAAGCTCATCTCTGGCTAGGCTGGGGATGCCTGTGTGAAGGATGTGTCTCAGTTCCAACTATACATTTGGGAGTCTCAGTTCCAACTCCCTAAGTCTTTAGATCCAAGGCTCTATGTCCATTTCTTGTGCAGCTATTAACCAAGTTTCTTGGATACAAAGACCAGAAAATGCGTCCAGCTATGATCTCCCCCTGGTTTTTCTGTGTTAAGCACTGACCGTGTCTTTTGGAGACTCATTATATACCATGGTCAGAAGTCTCCCAGGGGAGGGTGGATGCTGCCAGTCAAGCCCCAGGTGGGTAGCAGCCAACGCGGAAGAACAGGCTGTTAAGCCTCCTTCTGACACTTCATGTCTATGTGAAACTAAAAGCTATGATTTTCTTTTAAATGTAAGCAGTGAATTGAAGTATGAAACTGGCTACGAGCAACTAACCATTCAACTTTATGTCCTCATTGAATTAAAAATCCTCAAAAATGTCATTTAAGTTCAATTACTTTTCTAGTTAAACTGATGGAAAAAGTTGGAGGTTGTTTCGCTTTTTACCAAACCACACAAACATTCCCCACAATGATTGTATCATTAAGAATATGCTGCAAGGAAGTCCTACTCAAGACTCAAGAGGCAGTTACTCCTAAGTGAAAGGAGAAAACAGCCCAGATCAACTCCCCCATCCTCAGATAAGAGTTATTAAAAATCAGATTCATAGTGGAAGGAAAAAATGTCAAAAGAAAATAACCACAGCAAGGCTGGGGGAAGTGTGAAGACAGGATTCTTGGCGCACCATTAGCAGATGAAGCCGGAACATCCCTATCTGTCACCAGGGGTTCAGACGTCATGTGCCCATCTGTGGATGACAAGGTAAGAGGACAAACACAAAAGCGAAAGCCAGGTGCTCAGAGATGACACCTCTGCCACTGCCAGCCACTCAGCTGGGCTTGGAAGAGAACAGAGCTAGCAGTCGCACTGTCAGGTGCCAGACGCGCACATTCCTGGTTGGTCGCTGAAGCCACAACTTGCACAGGTGGACAGCCACACCATCGGCGCACCACCCTTCCTCCTCCCGTCCCCAATACTCCACAAAGAGAATGATTCCAGCTCGAGTCCTAGGTGCACGGGGAAGCCAGAGGAGCTTACTCTTCTACTCTGCATCAGTCCTTCACTGGGCATTTGTTGAATACCTACTGTGTGCCAGGCATCACACACTCATTTGAAGGACAGTGAGTCACAGCCCTTCAGTAGCTGATGCAGCGATGTCCCTAGAAGTGTGTGATCTGCAGCAAGAACCTCAAGTGGCTTTCGAAACGCTGTAAGCTGGCCTTTCTCCAAAGAGGGCGCCCAAAGCAGAGCAGGCCCTGCTTCCTAGGAACTGGCCAATGCAGCGCCTTTGAGACCGAAGAAAGCCACAGAGACGGGCATCCACGGGCACAAAAAGAAGCTCTACACGTCACCTCCTCAGGACACTGGGCTTTCGTGGCACCCCTGAGAGAGAGCCTCAGGAGGGGCAGCATGGCCTGATGGTCACAAGGGCACATGGCCACTGGCCCCAAAGGTGAGGCGCTAGGTGTGGCTGAACTGAGCTCGTCCAAACTGAGTTCAGGCCGCAAGCTCCGCACCCGCAGTTCCCAATCCAGGGCCAGTTCACCCCAGGGCACCGCCACAAACATTGTTGGTTGCCATCACTGGTAGGGGTGCAACTGGCGTCTAGGGTTAGAGGTGTGGGGGAGGCGCTAAGAGGCCAGGAGGGGGTGCTGCTAAGCATCCTACATGGCCTGAGGCAGCCTCGGCAAAGAACTATGGGCCCAAACTGTTAGTGGGGCCGAGGTAGAGAAATGCAGTCTAAATCCACTTTTCCATCCTGGAAACACAAATAAGCCCTTCTCTCACCCTTCCCGGGCCACTGACGAAAACCACATGGCCTGGCCAGCACCCCTCCCGGAGGAGCTGATCGCCTTTATCTCAGTGACAGGACCCAGAGCCCTCTCCGCGTGGCACGGGTCCTGAGTACCCGCCTTGTGGGAAATGCAGTAAGAGCCGCTTTGCAGCCCCACCCACACCAGCCTGGCTTCCCCAGAACTGACACAGTGTTTTGCTGCTCTGGAAATCAGGGGAAGTGGCAGCTGTGAAAAGGCAATATTTATGGAAAACAAACGCCAAAGTGCCTGAACACGTGACAATGGCCCACATGGGGGGGGGGGCAGATTCTGCTTTCCAAGTGGCTGGCACACTCACTTTCCCACGAGTTTCCTGGGGAATCCTAGTCCGTGTGCAGGAGATGGGCTGCGGGGAGTTCCCGTGCCCAGAGCCCGCATTCAGCTGCTGCTCAGATGAGCGCCATAGGCTCTCGCTAAAGGCCAACTCTGAAACCAGTACAACCAGGGAGCCCCACTCACTGCCAAGCAGTGAGTCCTTTACTGTGGGGACAATGACCAGAATCAAGAGAATTACTGTGACTGTGTTCAGGAACCTGAAGCTTGGGAAGGCCAGAGTTAATTCACATACACGCACACACACGCATAGGCACACAGGCAGTCCCTTCCCTTTCCCACCACTATCTGCTTACTAGGGAACACAACTGAAGGTGTTAGAAGCCAGGACTAAGGCCCCCTCCGAGGGCAGACAGATGAACCCGAGATCCTTTGTCATCAAACCTAATGCACAGTCACCAACCCTGGACTGGCACCCTTCAGTCCTTGCCCCCACTTCCCAGTGATGTATGTTTGTTTGTTTAGTAGTCATTTTGGGGAGGGGGAGAGACATCAACTTGTCCCCTTATTTGTGCATCAGTGGTTGACTTGTGTGCTGACAGGGATCAAACCCACAACCTGGTGTATGGGGAAGACTCTCTAACCAATTGAGCTACCCGGCCAGGGCCTATTTCACAGTGACTTTGAAGCTCTCCCTGGTTCCCACTGCTGGTGAGGATGGCAGGGGACCCCACGGGCTGCTTATCTGCCACTGAGGGGGGTCTCAGGAAGGGGGAGTGGATCATAGCTCAGCTCCCTGATGGTGAGAAGGCCTCACAGTGTGGTAAAGGGCTGGGTGATGGCCACCTGCGCATCCACAGAAGCTGCAGCACGTTCTCTGCACAGGGTAGCTGCTCAGAGTGTGCGTGCTGCATGTGTACTTGCCATATGTGCACGCATGTGAGTGCAAGCACATGTGCGAGTGTGCGTAGACAGTTCTGTGTCCACAGATCCGTGCATCATGGGAATAACCAAATGAAGACATCAACTCAAAGGTTTGGACTCTGGTCAAGCTTTGGAGCAGGGCTCCAAGCTACATGGGTCTGTCTGTCCCATGCTGTCTGTCCTTGGTTGGCCCCAGGCTGGCCCGTCCATTTTTCCAATGGCAGAGGCAAGTGTGCCTGCCCTGGGACACTGTCTTGATCACCACGCCATCTTTACTGTCACTGGTGAGAGGGGATGGCAGGTCAGGAGGCAAAGACTGCCCAGACCACACCCTGAATGGAAGGCCAGCAAGGAAGGCCACCTCCCTGGGGTGCGGAAGGCCTGCTCCGGCAGGTAACACTACCTGCTTCTCGCCAGAGAAGTGTGTCAGGCCGGCTCAATAGACTCTTTATTTGAAAGATTTCGCAAAACCACCACCAAGGTGAATAGGCTGTGGGCAAGCGGCCTCTTGCCTCAGCTGCTGTAAGGAACAGTCTGAATGGGGTCGGTGAGCAGAAGACCAAGCCCCCCTCCCACAGGTGCTGCCTGGCCCCCAGGTCCCCCTCCAGGAATCGGCTGTGCAACAGAGTAGGCTTCCCAAGGTCCCCTAGGTACCTGGGGCCCTGCCCTCAGGACAGGCAGGGCTGGCGCAGCAGAGAAAACGCGGGCAGGGCAGTGGCCTCGAGCAGAACACCGGCCCCTCGCCCACACTGTGCAGCCCGGCCTTGGACCCCTCACCCACTTGGCGCACCCTGGCCTCTTGGGATGTCTTCTAGAAGGAGAACAGTCAGGGCGAAACACCAAACCCATGACGCC